GAAGCCACGTCAGACGGGAACATCTGCAAAATATGGTGCATACCAAGGTCAGTTGCAGAATATACTGCACGTATACGACAGTGAAGAACTCTTGCGGAAGACTGGCTTCGAGAGTGGGAGGCACCCTGTCAAGATGCCTGCCCACGTGGCTATGTCGCTTGACGCTGCTCAGCCGAAGCGTGAGATATCCCATCCGTAGAAGATGGACATCGAGCGCCCAGTACACCAGATACAGAATGAACATGGATGATGTGAAGAACTTCAGCAGACGTGGAAGTGCATGGCCTTGACGAGCTCCACTGTTGACGAATCAGCATACATATCTCTTGGTATGCCAAATGCACCTACCACGGACGGCACACAAGATACACCATGAGAATCACGTAGAGCGCTGCGAGGAAAACACGAATAAGCATTGAGACGAGTATGTCGCCTATCATCACATACCGAAGAGAAAGGTCTCCAAAAGCAACGAATAGGCATGAACCTCGACGATCGTCAAGACCAAGGAGGGGTCGTCCAGCGACGAGTGCCCTTCCATGGCGGCGATCAACGCGATTAAAAGGTCGGGGTCAACTCGATCCTGGTTCACCACCCAGTCCTGGTATGCTTTTGAGGACTTAGAGCGAGCGATCATGAATAGTATCAGCCGTTTACGCCCTCGACCAACGAGTGTTCCGGTCGCTATGTATCGTCTGAAGCCTATGGCGAAGCGAAATCATACGCGCGGAAACGCCACACGGACGGCCAGGTGAATTGATAGCTGCGCCGCCGGTATTGGACGGATCGCGGGGTATTTCGGGCGACAGTACGTATCATCGCAGGTTCGAGCCTTCTTTCATGATGCCGAGGTTGATGAAAGATAACAATGTCCTGTGGGATTCACGCGCGCGGGTCTCGTATTCCGACCCAGCACATAGTGTGGATGTCGGAAGACCAAACAGACGCGGCATTGCATCTAATGGCTCAGGGCCGTAGAGGGAAACCTAGTAGGGTTACCTGGTATAGCATTCCGGCGGTCAACGACACCGTCTATGGCGACGCGGAATGGGTGTACGATGATCAAGGGCCGCACAGGTCAAGTCTCACCGATAAAGGCGCTTGCGAGGACGCTACATTCGCATGCCCGCAGCAGTATACCAGTGGGCCGTACCATCTTGAAAAGCGCAGTGGTGTGATACGTTTGGCATCACGTCGAGTTGCGGGAGGGTTGACAAGGGAATCAAATTGAGGTGGTGGTTGCGAGACAAGCGCCAGACACGCCACTGGACGCGTGCACCAAAGCTGCGCCAGCCCGCGCGCGGCCCGGTCTACCCGATGTCGCGTCGGTATCTGAACTTTGAGCATGTAGGCTGGCTATACACAGTACCGCTCGCCAGCCATACACACCATACACGTTACAGGATCAACTCACAGTGGCAGTTCGGATGAGTCTACCAACGAGCTCGCGCTGGCATGGTAAGTTTAGGATGTTGATATTGACTTTCAACTAATCAGGCTCGTCATAAATTGTATATATATTTTCCAGTCACACTTCAGAAGCTCAGGAGCACAGTATGATGTGGTTCTGGTACAGTTGGATCCCGCCAGACTTGTCTGAAGTTGAATTCGCCAACGGTCTCTCTTAAATGGTGTAGATGTGCAAGGTGCAGTCATTCGCGTCGCCTATGGTCGCATTCGTCTAGATCGTTGTATCGACGTCAGCAGAGTGTCTGTAAGCCCAGCTGAGGAGACTCACCTCTATCACTAGCAACCCATCTGTTTCGCAAACCACCTTTCTGCCCGTAAAACCTGGGCTCCCACCGACCAACTCAACCTCCTGCCCCATAATCTTCCTCTCGCCCTTCCCCGGCACATCGTCCCTCAAGGCCACCCTCACAAGCCCCTTCGGCACAACGCCCATCTCTTCGCATTCAAGATGCCTCTTGTACACTCTCCTCGGGTGCATGTCCAACAGATAGAAAGGTTTGGCGAGAAGGTCGTCGAGTCGGCCTGGCACGTCGGCGAAGTGGGGAAGCGCTACGCGCGAGCCGCAGACCGAGGGTTGGTAGACGACCAGAGCGGGGTCGTGCCCGAAGGTATCGCCAAATGTGTATTGGGTGTCGATAACCCAGGCCTTGCGGCCCCAGTTCCAGTCGCCGGGTGGCATGAAGCGGTCCAAGGGCCGATGGGTAGTTCTCCAAAGGTTCCATGGCGAACGCCTCGGACGACGTGAAGACGGTGTGTTGAATATGGATAGCAGCGTACGCGCAAAGACGCAGATATACACCGTTCGTGAATGCGCTTCTCGCAGTTTGCAAGCGATGATGATGATATCTCTATCCTCGTCCGGATAGAATGGTTCGGTACGCGGAACGTTGTGCGTCCCCTGAGCAAAGAAGGTGTACCCGCGCATGTACACGTGTTGTCCGCAGAGCCTGGTGGGTAGATCGTAATAGTGGAGCTCAAAGTCGGATGTGTCTTCGTTGAGGCGGTAGACGCAGAGGCGCACATCTTGACCGACCGGGCTGACCGCGGATATGCACGCGAAGGTGTCCGCGGAGAGAAACCTGAGACGTGGGACGTAGAAATGATCCTTTTGCCGTATGTCGATGTACTATCAGTCGTGATCGGATAATCAGCGATCTCATCCGGCGTCGCTAGGGATCCAGATGAACTCACGAGGTATGTAGAGCCGTCCACCCAATCACAGATCCAGATGGTGCATGGAGCGTCCGTGCGTTGCGCGGGCCGTCGTATAGTAGTAGCAATGCGATTACTGTGAATCTGCATGGCGCTCATCCTGCCTGCTTGGCCAGGGCCTGAAAGAGGCATGATGGTGTATTGTCCGCCACATCCTGCTCGGGGATGCTTCTCTCCCGTAGAAAGCGTCCTCGCCTCGATCAGGCGGAGCGTTTCAGTCCTGCGAGGCACAATTAGCGCCCATTAATGGTAGATGTCCGATCTGGAACTCACCTTTCGCTAGACCATACGATGATGAGATCTTGCGACGGGTCCACCGCAAGTATATCCGTGAGTGTGAACGGCAGATCCCATCGCTTTTCCTCCACCTTCCGACATAACGACGGCAGCCTCAGGCATTCTGTTTTGCTCCCTCTTGTTCCGGTATACAGTACGACGTTGCCCGTGTGCAGCATACCGCGCGCCTTGCAGCGAATGTTGAAGTAATTCACCCATTGGAGGTCAGCCCAACCGTAGTGCCACATCAGAAGTAGCTGAAGGCGCTCGGCTGTGCAGAGTTTGCCTGGAGGTCCGTCGCGCATTCCGCTTGCAGCGAGGAGGGCGGCGTATCGGAGGGTGATTGTTTCCGTACATATAACGTGCAGTCTTTTGCAGACCTAACAAACAAGTGAGTATCGCCGGGGTTAAAGCAAGCACTTGCTTGTACAAACCTGCGAACACGCGGCGAGCGCGCGATAATTGAGTAGATCGAGTATTGACGTGACAAGCTCGGTTGGTAGTGCAAGAAAAAAGGATGGAATTCTCTTCTTAACGAAGGGATGTAACGATTGAATAGTGTATCCTTGCATGGGGATGAATTCGGGAGTAGGTGGCGACATTATTCTTGAATTAGGTTCGGTTGGATGGGGTGTGGGCGTGATAGAGACGAGTGAAGGGGCGATTGAGTGTGTTCGCTAGTACGTGAGGGTGTGGACGCGAGTATGATGTGTACACAAAGAGCGTTTGTGGGTCACTGCACCAGCGACATGACCGTTGTGGGCAAGAGACCGGAGGCTGTCTGTGGCGTTCCCGTAGAATTATATAGAGCCTAGACAACGACGGCACCGCCCGAGCGTGACTCGACTAAGTACGACGTGTGGTTTTGCGCAGTACATGGAAGTATCAACAGTCTGTATAGGCGTGCACAGGCGTGTCAGGCTACGATGACAAGCTGAATCTATATTGCGAGAAATGAGCACAGGCCATGGTGGGAGGAGGCGAGCGACGCGCGCTTGTCGCTTCGGATCCTTCGGCCTGCGTTCGGGCGCGCCTTCGCGGCGCGGCCGTGTTCCATATTTCCTCATGATCACACCATCGACCCCACACAATATCGTTTGGTTCGTGCTGGTCTGACTCTTGCATCCTGCTGTCACCATGTCTTCACCCTCGAACAGCTCGAAGGGTCTACTACCAAACGACCTACTTACCCCAGGGCCAGACAGCCCCGTCCAGCCGCGGAAGCCTTACCGCTTCGGCACTCTTGTTGCCACTGTCGAGAATCCAGACCAGAAGGACCAATATGGTTCGAGCTCTGTACCGATTTACCAGACCGCGACCTTCAAGGGGGGACCTGGTGGTGAATACGACTATACTCGCAGCGGGAACCCGACGCGCAGCCATCTCGGTACGTGCTTTGTGCATCTAAGCGCGCGCTGATTGACAGCCAGCTAACTTCCTTTTGCGTATTCAGAACATCATATTGCCAAAATATCCTCTGCGTCACATGCATTCGCCGTCTCGTCTGGCATGGCCGCTCTCGACGTCATCCTCCGTTTGCTGAAGCCCGGAGACGAGGTCATCGCGGGCGACGATTTGTACGGCGGCACGAACCGGCTGCTCACGTACATCAAGACGCACGGCGGCGTTATCGTTCATCACGTCGACACAACAAACGCCGAAAACGTGCACAAGCACGTAGTCGCCGGAAAGACTGCGATGGTGCTGCTCGAAAGCCCGACCAACCCTCTGCTCAAGATTGCGGATCTTCGCAAGATCGCACAAGACGTCAAAGAGCGCGCGCCTGCCGCGATCGTTGTAGTGGACAACACCATGATGAGCCCGTACCTCCAGCGTCCCCTCGAATACGGCGCGGACATTGTCTACGACAGCGGTACCAAGTACTTGAGTGGCCATCACGACCTCATGGCTGGCATCATCACTTGCAGCCGCGATGACATTGGGAAGGTGTGTTCCACTTGACAATAAACGTAGAATGGTACTCATGCCATTTGTAGCAATTGGCGCACATCATCAACTCCATTGGGAATGCGCTTACCCCCTTCGACTGTTTCCTTCTCCTCCGCGGTATCAAGACACTCGCAATCCGCATGGACAGACAACAGGCGTCTGCTATGGCGGTTGCAAACATGCTCGACCGCCTTGGCTTCACCGTCTACTATCCCGGCTTGGAGAATCACCCAGGACGCGAGATTCACGAGCGCAACGCGGAGGGCCATGGAGCTGTACTGTCGTTCACTACCGGTGACATCGCGTTGAGCGAGCGCATCGTCGCTGCCACTCGTCTCTGGGGAATCAGCGTCAGCTTCGGCTGTGTCAACTCACTCATCAGCATGCCGACCCTCATGTCGTACGTTCTCTCTTGCGCTTCTATCGCCGCTCTCGCTCATATTATACGACAGTCACGCATCTATTGACCCGTCTGTACGAGCCGAGCGCGGGTTGCCAGAGGATCTCATCCGTCTTTGCGTTGGAATCGAGGATGCCGCAGATCTCATCGACGACCTCGAGCACGCTCTTCTCGAAGCTGGCGCCATCACCGTCTCCGCTGTAGCCGATCGCCACATCTACGTGCGCCCGTCGGAGCAGCAGAACGGTATCAATCGCGCGGTCGAGAAGCTCGCATACAACGCCGCTGCTGCCCGCGACGCGGAGTGGATTGTAAGCGCTCCCGGAAAGGTTATCCTGTTCGGCGAACACGCAGTAGTACATGGAGTAGTGAGTTTCATCAACTTCGCTGCAGAGAACAGTGGCTGAGTGTGCACAGACGGCAATTGCCGCTGCTGTTGACCTCCGCTGCTACGGCTTGTCTTCCCGGCGAGACGACGGCAAGATTGGATTGCGTTTTGCCGATCTGGGCGATTTCTCTCACGACTTTGTTGTGGACGACTTGCCATGGGACGCACTGACGACGACGGCCGACGATGCTTGTCCGGAAGTCCTGGATCACCATCTCATTTCCACGATTCAAGAGCGCGCCCTGCCCGAATCTACCGGCCACTCGTCCAAGGCGGCAGTAGCCGCCGTCGCCTTCATTTACCTCTACATGATGATCTTCCACGATCACGACCGCCCATCTATCAACTTCACTGTCCGTTCCAGCCTTCCAGTAGGCGCTGGCCTCGGCTCTTCCGCCGCCTTCTCGACATGTGTTGCCTCTGCCCTCCTCCTCCTCCGACAACGCATCAAGCTCCCCAGCACACCCGAGCCTTCCCGTGGAGCACACGACACCGACCCCGGACACCTCCACATCTCTCACTCCGGGCGTCGTGCCATCCCTCACGAGACAGCTGAAGAAGTCAACCGCTGGGCCTTCCTCTCCGAGAAGATCTTACACGGCAACCCGAGCGGTATCGACAACTCCGTCTCAGTCTTCGGCGGCGCGCTTGCGTACACGCGCGCGGGCTTCCCGCACAAGCTTAAGAACAAGAGCGGGATGGAGCAGATCAGCGGGTTCAAGAGCTTGAGGTTCATGCTCACAGACTCGCAGGTGCCGAGGGACACCAAGGCGCTTGTGGCGGGTGTTGGAGAGCTGAAGTTGAAGGATCCGGAGAATGTTGGGAAGATCTTGAAGGCTGTTCAGAGTATCAGCGATGAGGCGCATAGGGCTCTCGGAGACCCGGAGATGTCGCGCGAGGAACTCTTGCTTGCTCTTTCGGTACGTGGTGCCCATGCATCCTGATGATGTCGTTGAACTTAACATTCGCATAGGCGTTGATCGACGAGAACCACACTCATCTCATCTCCCTCGGCGTCTCCCACCCCGCGCTCGAGCAGATCCGCTCGACCACTCGCGCAGCCCCATACAACCTCAGCACCAAGCTGACCGGTGCAGGCGGCGGTGGTTGCGCCGTCACGCTGATCCCGGACAACATGGACGACTCCGCCCTCCAGACACTCGCAGCTGCACTTGCTGACGCTAAGTTTGTACCATACTTGACGGCCGTCGGTGGCAGCGGTCTAGGTGTACTCCCTGCCGACCGTGCGACTGGCGAGCGCGGACCGAAGGTCACGGAGTTGTTTGAGAAGAGCCAAGGTGCGGCTTTGCATGATTGGGCTGAGGCGAGAGGAAGGTGGTTGTATGTCTAGAGTGACGATGTTGTGCTGCGGTTCTCGATTGTGTACTATATTGCTCATAGCTGTTTTGAATCTGGAGTACGGTATGGCAACGTGTGAAAGGCTTGCTTCATGTCCACCGAGTGTCCCGTATCTCGAAGAATCGTATCATTCAGTGCCATGACGAGGATTCGGTCGTCAATTCTGTGATATTAGTGTCGCTATCTACATACCTGTCACCGCTCAACGGATAATTGTTCGACGTGAACGAAATCACGAGTGTCTCCGCAAGGCGCGACTTCAGTGGCCGATCATAGCACAGACGGTCCACGATCGGGACACCGAGAGGCAATATTCAAGCGAACAACTGTATAGCAGGAACTTGAGACATTACATTCCGTCTTGGGACGGTACAAGAAATTGGAAGCGCGAGCAAACAAGCATAAAACAAGCGAAGCATCAGGAAAAGCAGACTGATTGAAGGATTATTCGTTCGCCATCAACCTCTTCCTCCCACTCCTTACACCCCTGCCGCCCTCAAAGTCGGACTTCCATCGCCCGCCCCAGGCCCTCGCGGAGTTCTGCCGGGACCTCCAACACTAGGTCTCCCCGTGAGTGGACTTTCCGCCACAGTTGGCTTCGTTCCCGCCCTCGGGGTAGGTCGATCAACAGGAGTATCATCCAACGCCGGACCACTGGTGGTACCGTGCGGCACATATTGCCCGCTGAACGTTCCCCCTCTTGCTCCAGCTCCGGCTCGTACAACCACACTACCCTGGCCCTGCGTCTGCGACACCGACTGGGTAGGTGTACCGAAGCTTCCTGTCGGCCCGCCAAAACGCGCCGCGGCCCATACACCTGAGCCGTCTTTGGCGCGTATGCCGCGAGAGGGTGTGCTGGATGGATCGAAGATTGTTGCGAGACTGGCGCTCATCGCTGGTGTACGCGGCGGCTCAGGCTGGCTTGACGGTTCCGTCGTAGGCGGACTCGGTGTGCGCGGATAGCCATCATCGTGATTGTTCGCGGCGAACAGAAGCGGGTCTGAATCTGTGCTGGACTGCATGCTGATCATCGTCGCGTCGCGCACGAGGGTCGGCGGCGGCTGCGGTTCTTCGACAACATCACCGCGACCGTCATCCACGCAGGAAGGGCAGAAGTACTCGTCGCCGAGATCGCGCTCGGTGAGACTGAGACACGATAGATGGTACCACCTCCCGCACTCATCGCACTGCACTTGCTTCTTGTTCACGATCCCGCCCTTGCCGCATATACAGATCGCCAGTCCTTCAGCTCGACGCGCCTCAATGAGGCGCCTCACAGCGCCGTTGGTCAACAAGGCGGCACGCGCATCGCTGCTGTCACTCGGGATCAGGATCGAGCGTCTCCGGGCCTCCTTCTTTGGTATACTCTTGCCTCTCCCTCCCTTCGGCTTGACAGGCGGATATGTATCCAGCTGAATCGAGCGTTTAGACGGTACGGGAAACGGCGCTTCGTCCGCATCCGGTTCCGTGTCGTCTGAGCAGAGGTAATGCTCGACTTTGCCCAGCGCGTCTTCCTGTGCGGCGCTCTCTTCAGAACGCATCTCACTCGTGCGTACGCTCCACGGGAACGCCTCGTCAGGCCAATGTAGCACAGCGCTCTCTGGAGCACCGAACATCCTCCGCGGAGGACGCTTACGTCTACGGCCACCCTTGCGCTTTGGCGTATCATCCGGCGGTAACTCGGGAGGCTTCTCCGCGGGCGCGAGGTCGATGAGAACACGCCCGACGTTGTCGAGATCAACGGCGTGCATCTGGGCGCGAGACTTCTTGCGACCCTCGCTGAAAGCCGTAAGCCACTTCCTCTTTCGTCGCTCGTTCTCATCGTCCTCGGCTTGCGCACTCGTCGCAGGCAGCGGCTCGGGACGCGCGCTCTCACGACGTGGAGACGCCTGTCCGCGCGCGGACAGTATTTCATTAAACGTCCTAGGCTGTGGCGCCGACGGTGCCGTCGCACCAGGAGTCGAGCCGTAACCGACGTAACCGCCGGCCATCAGCCTGTCTTCGAAGCTCTCTTCGCTGGTATGCGTGAACCCGCCACCACCGGCTAGAAGGTCGATCCGTCGGCCTTTCATAGGAGTATTTCCAACGGCGGCGCCTGGCGCTGCACCGCCTGCCGCCGCACGTTGCAGATAGTCCGGCTTGCGCGCCTCTATTTCTGCGGCACGAGCAGCCTGCTCGGCGTGTATACGGGCCAGTTCGCCTGCGCCGTCAGGAGTGGCTGGAGGGGGTGTTTCCGAGCTTCCAGCCGGTGGAAGTGGTGGAGCGTACGACGTGCTTGCTTGAGGCTGCTGTCCGAAGGACGTAGGTGAAAAGGGCGATGAAAGAGAGCCGGGTCCGTATAGGGGAGGTGGCGTGACCCGTGGTTGGGTATCAGGCATGGTGAACGCAGCCTGGGGAGGACGGAAGTCGAAGTGCGGTGGTCCTTGGAAGACATATTGCGACGGCTGAGGAGGAGGAATGATGGGTGGCGGCGTGGGCGGAGAACCAGTGCGGGTGGGTGGCTGTGTTTCAGCGTATGTCCATCGGTTGACGAGAGCGCTGTGAATACAGATATATTTAGCAATTAGATCGAGTCCAGGTGGTCCGTTGCGTACTTAGAATCTGCAGCAAGCATCTGTTGTAGTTGTGGGTCGATATTCGGCTGTGTGTATTGTTGGAGCCTGAGAAAGAGAAACGTCAGATTGAACCCTCGAGGCCAGGCCATCAATATGGACGTACGACTGTTGTTGTGGTTGTTGCTGGAGATTCATCTGCAGCTGCTGGGCCGCCATGGCAGCAACATATTGTGGCGCCGAGTATATGGCCGTAAGAGCGTCATATCCGTTCATGATTGCTTATGACTCCCAAGCAGATAATGACAGGGGGAGGCAAAGTGGGCTCAAGAAAGCAATAGCAATTCGGAATAATTCGATAGGCTACGGCGGTGACCTGATCCTAGCAGCTGTCCGTCACCATGCCAAGCGGCACCGAGACCTTGATATAGAGCACGAGATTAGGTAGCGGAGGCGCGGGAGGCTGAGGGTAGGAGGACAAGCAGCGGGGCAGACCGTGTCAGCCGCTTCGAAGCTACTCACGTGTTCGTCGCGATACGCAGATGGCCGTACTTCGGGGCCCGGTCCGAAGCTTGTCTTCTCCCCCCATCTTCGACGGTCTAGACAGTCCCCCACCAAACACAAACATAAGCATGCAGTAGTCTGTTACCCAGCTCAAGGACACTCCTCAGCGACTCTGAGCTGCCAAATGGGGATATTCGCCACGCATGTCCGAGTAGTAGTTCAATGTCGGGAACGTCTTTCAGAGCCTCCTCAAGTACTACCTCTAGCCCAGAATGCCCAGTCACTGCCTAAGTGGTCTTTCGGAGCTACACAATTCAACTCTTTGCAAGTCCACGGACTTGCTGCTGGAAGTTCTTTTCGAGCGTCGACGCCATAGCACTTCGATCACTACTTCATGAAGCGCATCATTCACATATCACGCCAGTGGAACTCACGCGCGTGCGTCGTACGGCCCCCAGCTTCTACAGGTCTTGGTACGCCGTAGAGTAGTCCGGGCGAATATTTTCTTCCGACATCCTGCGCAATCCGCTTCGAACCGCCATCCGTCGGAGCGCGCTTCTCGTCAGTAAACGGCCGTGGAGTCGGCGTGGACCACGGTTCACTCTCGCCGGGTTCACAGCTATACCCCGTGGACAACTCGTAAGCCCACTCTTGGCACTATACACCTTGCGCGGAAATCATAGCACCGGTTGCTTCGGATCGTCACGGTATACTCTAGCGGCCTCACAGCTGGCCAGTATAAAACCTACGTGACCGAAAGCCGGAGCTGATCATCGACATTCGTTCGAGTTCTACTTTCTTCAACAACACCCTTACTTCTATCTATCTATCATCTCCTCACTCTTACGATGAAGCTCTCCGCTGCATTCTCTGCCCTCGCGCTCGCTCTGACCGCGCGTGCTGCGCCATCTGCCGACTACGACCGTTGCACCGTCGCTCGTGCTCAGGCGGACGGTCTTCGCGACGACTACCAGCCTTGGATCGAGCAGCTCGTACGTTCCCCTACTCTCACACCTTGTGTCTACGCTGATACTCCTTCATATACAGTTCTCACCCTGCGTCGGTCCTGCCAGCAACTTCTGGTCCACCAAGACGTGCATCGCGGCCGCGATTGCGATGGGCGTGCGTATCTCATCAACCCTCTTTCAAGCACCTCGCGCTGACCATCTGCCATCTCTCTTTAGCCTCGTACCATCGTTGACTTTGCTACGTGCGACAAGGCTAGCACCCCTGACCAGGCTTCTCAGCCCGACCTCGACGAGAGCCTCTACGGCGAGATCGGCGACATCACGCCGCAGAAGTTGCTCGACCTCGTCTACGGCGAGCTTTCCGCCATCAACGCTTCCATTTGGCCCGAGTACGTCCTCCCGTGCTCATATGCCTCGCGATAACTCCAACTCATCTCTTTGTCTAGGAGCGGCGATGAGATCCTCGAGGATGTCATTGGCCCCGTCTTCACCTGGGCTGGCGAGTCGCCCATCTCGTATGAGCGCTTCAACAAGTGGCTCCACGACTCAGGTTACATCAGCATCATCACCGACGACGAGCATACCAGCGGCAAGACCTACTACTACGATCACGAGGATGACAAGCCCTAAGCGCTCTAGGAAGAGCCTCTGAGGGCTGGGGTGCTCAAGCGTTCAAGTTGGGTATCATGGGATGTAGCTTTGTCGGATAATCTACCATTTACTTTATTCAATGGACATTCTACGTACTTCCCCGTTGATGGGGTGCAATAGTTGATTTACTTTGAAACGACCTTGGGGGACATACCGCCACGCAGTCCTCGAAGGTGGGTGCTGTCGAAGGAGGTTAACGTGGCTACAGTGCACGTGGCGATCGCGCGCGCCGGCATCCACCGATGAAACGCGCGTGCTCCCCACCACCATGGCCGCGACAGAGCTCCTAGAGCATAGGACGCGCAGTACGGCCTTATCAGGGCCTATCTCGTACCCAGAGGCTGTCAATAGACGCCTGATGACTCTGTACACCACCTCATCGCCCACCGCCTCTCAAGTTGCACAGCCTCTGCTTTATGGGCGCAAAGTTCGACGTAAAGATCTGCTGTTCTACTACTACGAACACACCATCTCGCGCTTACCATGATATCTCGCTGATCTTCTGAGTGCCTTTGGCCCCGACTAGCTTTGCGCTAGCAGAGCTTTCTTCACCACTCCCCATGATCATCTCTACATCATTTCACCCACGTCAAACTTCGTACCCCCGCTATTGCTTCTCTCAGTACCTTCGTTCGCTCCTCACACGACATCCAGTACTGTACCTATACCACTGTAGAGAAGCAAGTCCCGCGAGGCTTGGCGTGTCTTCTCGTACAGGACATCATCCCGATTCAAACATGACTACCCGCCTGCTCATCGCATCTAAAACACATCTAGTGTTCCGCATCTCAACTTCTCCATCGCCAACATCATACCTGCATATCCAATCACTCGCGTCCTGCAAGACTACAGTGTGTTCCATCCAGATAATACTACAGGGACCATGCGGCGGCTGAATACACACCCCTCCATCATCAACATACACCAACTACGCTGTTATGGAAGACGCCACGTACCGCCCTCGTACCTGTGGCTACGGATTCAATAAGTATCCGTGTGTAACTCCGGACTATCTTTGACTTAGGGCTTCTGTCGGGCCCCTCCTCTTGGCCATGGGGCCCCTTTACTGCCTTTTGTTGCTCGGCGTCGGAATCATAGGTCCTGCTATCGCGCAAGATCTTACCATACCTTCAGGATGGAATGTACGTCGCAAGATGATGCCAACTACGAGAAATACTCACCGACGTCATGATAGGTGAGCTCATCGGACACAGTCTCACGGACTGAGCGCGAGGCGTATGCCAACGAGGCCGCCGCCGCCCTCGTTCAGAACATAGTCTCCAATGGAAGCCTTTCCGGTACGCCATGAGAGTGTTCCCATCGACAAGCTTGTCTGATCTCATCATGTAGACACAACCGAAAGCCAAGCTCTCGCGAGCATGTACACCGTTCTCGCGTTGCAGGATACGTTGAGTGGTAACTCGACCTGGAAGAACACCATTTCGAACAGCATGAAGACGTGGGTGCAACACATCGACATATTTGGCAATGGTACAGTCGGGTCGAGGCGCACAAACAGCAATGGGATGTACGTGCTCTACTCTTCTCTATGCGCCATCGTGCTCACGCTCGATTAAGACAATGGGCGCTTGCCTCCTATTACGCGTACAAAGCTTACGGCGACCCTTACTTCTTGAATGTCTCTCAGAACGCCTTCAGTACGACCTACAAGGACTACATCACACCCTCCGTTGCTGCAGCGAGCCAAAGCGCGCCAGGCCGCAATATCTCCGCCGTCAACTCCTCTGGGTGCTTTTGTGAGTGGGAAATGCCTCAGTTCCTGTTCGACCATCTCTGACACTCTGGATTGCATAGCCCATGCGGCTGGTGGCATTTTCTGGGCGAGTGCCTATCATGGCATCTATCCGTCCTACGACTCTCATTCCGTTTCAGCTTCCGGACGTCCCCGACAACACTCAAGTTCAGGCAGACACCGTCGGGTGCGTCCAATCCATGACATGTATGACACTCCTGGACTGACGTATGTACTATAGGCCGTTTGCAGTGTAAGTGACGATCGACACAGCTCAACCGCTTGGACACGGCGCTGATTACCGATAGTCTCGCGGGGCATCTATTCGAGGAAACTGGCAACACCACCTACCAAACGCTTGGCCTCCAGTCGCTCGACTTCATGGGAGATCTCGGGTGGGATCGTGAGTTCTTCAATCAGACAAGCATTGTCTGCATCAATACTGACAGGCATCAGAGGGGAATGTCATGGAAGTGGGCGTCATCGACGTCTACCCCTGCGGGCGTAACACCGGAAAGAGCCCCGGGATACAGGGATGGTATATATACGCCCTCGCTATCTTCGCGAACATCACATCCGGTAGTGATACTGGCACGACACTGACCGGCCAGTACGTCTTCAGATCTACCGCTGCTTGCGCTTCGAGGCTCACAACTGTCTCGTAGATTGCGAACGGCGGTCTCCACTGCAGGAAGAACGCCTTCTTGGACACAATCGAATGGTGTCCTGATAGGTAAGCATCTGACCAGCGCTCATTGGATGCCGGAGTCTGAATCGATATCTGCTACCAGACACGCAAGATACTGCCTACTCTCTGAACGACGATGAATTCGATTCAAAAGGTACTGAATAGTCCTTAACCTCACTGAGCGCTATGCCTGACCGGGTCACGGAACAGCAATCCTTGTTCGTGCACTGAGCGAGACCTTACGTCGCAATCCCTCATCAACTGGTGGGGATCTAGTGCATTTCATCCAGTCGTTCTTGACAATACAGGTACGTATTCGGTCACTTGTGTCTTGTCTGCCACTTGAATGACGGTACATAGTACGACTCGGTTACTACAGCGGCCCGTAACGGCAGCTCTTATGCAATAGCGCCTGCTGGACCCGCACCCGCCAAGTTCTCGAATGAAGGCAACATCATGGCACTCGACATGCTGAATGCAGCATTTGCCATGGCACCAAAAGATGTAGCGTGAGTCGCACGGCAAGGTCTGTATGCTGCGCAAACTGGACAATCATCAGGGTTCCTAGCTCTTCATCAACGACGAGTCCCTCGTCGACGGGTAGCTCGCAACCTTCGACTTCATCCGGATCTCCGATCCCTTCACCTTCGCATGTGGGAGCCATTGTGGGAGGCGTTGTGGGCGGCATTGGCGGGCTCTGTATCATGGTCGGCGTGTACTTCTGGTGGCACCATAAGCGCCGCAAGGCAGAGCAACTCGCTACTCCTGGCGAGTCATTCGTCGAGCCATTCTTCAGCCCGACCCGCATGGTCACTGAGCCATACCAACCAGGGGATCCAAATCCCCAGCACGGAAACATGTATAGATCAAGTTTCAGAGGTGACGGTCCATCGCGTCAAGCGCTGTAAAGAAAGATCGCAACTGACGCTCGGTGGAACAGGCCCTGGACACCGTTCGAAGTTGGCTCGCGAACTTCCTTCAACGCCATCACTGCCGCGCACTATACCGACCTCTTCGACAAACCTATCTGATACCCAGTCATCCAGCCTGACACCCATGATGGACCAACACGCTGATCTTCCCGCTCTGGTAGGGCGACTTGTTCACGACCTCCTGCGCGACCGGGACGCAGTTTCTGCTCCACCAGAGTATGGAGAACAGTGATCGCGACGGACATCGTCAACTTGAGTGAGTCAAGCGAGTATACTCATCCCGGTCATGGAGAAGGCGTGGCCAGGCGGTGTGCTGGTCAGAAAGGTGGTTTCCGACATCGAATACCAAATCGCTATTCAGGCGGCGCGCCGGCGGCGACCCGCGCGCTTTAAGTAGTTTAGATAATTGGGCCCGAATTCCGTTTTCCCCAGTCATATATGTATCTGTCTACGTTTTCTTCCTTCTAGTTCTAGTCACTCCTTCGTCTACCACTGCACTTGCTCATATGACCTATGTGCGTCCACCCATCCATGAGCACAGCCGGTGAACGTTTGAACCTCCATACTCTGAGTCGGCTCGCACTCCGAGTCGGCCCGACGGGCCGATATTCTTGATGAAACATCAGACGCGTCTGCGCTCCCGACGCGAACCACAGCGCTCTTCGCTCTCTACCACCACGGTGCATTCCAAATCATACAGCACAGCCCCTCCGGGGCATTACCGGGGCGTAACTCCCTCTTCGAGTAGAGTATATACTGAAAGCTACCTCTTGCATAGCAGATCTATAGTCCAACTAACTTGGAGATCCGATTGACCTCGTCCACTTTATCCATTCGCGTGCTGCTCTCCACGGTCGCGCCCTGCGCGACCGTTTCGAGCTGCGCACGCCACACTCCTATATATTGTGGTTGGTATGACACCTTTGCGTAGGCAGAGAACTGTCTACGCGCTCCGTAACATGTACATTTGAGGACATGTGGACTCGGAAATATTTCACGAGCGTGACCAAGTTCAGAAGTATGAACCGTAGTGTGTATTGTCCAAGTGAACATACATGGAATTGGAGAGACTCGGAGAGGCCACAATCAAGCCGAACTCAAGCTAAACGCCTCATCGACATCATCCTTCGCTCCCCCTTATCCTACGTAAACCCGCCCCAAGAACCCAACTCACCAGCCGCGCCACCTCGCAACCATACTTCCTTGATGATGTTGCTCTTCCAAGTCTTCTCGCCGAATTTGAGGCGCACGAGCTCGCGCTTGATTGACTGGCTGAAGTTGCGCGGAATCGTGCTGAGGGCCCTATCAGGGTACCCCGCCGAAGAAGTGCAAGCACGACGTGTGTCATTGTTACCAGGCCTTCTAGTTGACTTAGAAAACCGCGATACATACAACAATAGTCCTGCGACACGCAAGAGCCTTCGTCGCACCGAGCAAGAGGGAGAATCTAGACAAGTGCGACAGACATGGGTGGTGCGCACCTCGCGTGCAACATTTACGGGGATGCTGCTAGACAGGCGTAAGCCATCGCCGAACGCGAGGGCCTGGGGCTGAGAACAACGAAAGTGGGCATAGCCCGATACGAGGCAGGGGAGACTTTCCTTTGACAGCGACATAGGGTGCAAGCGCGGCTGCCTCTTCATGTTTGACAAAGCAACCTCCAATTCAGCTTCATCGTGTACAATGGCAAGGGAATGAAACCATTGATTGGGCACAGTACACGATACAACAACACGTAAGCGGGAAAAGGCAAGGGACCACGTCTCTTCCACTCGGTATTCACAGGCTGTGTTCGTAGAGGTAACGGCAGAGGGCGCCAGGGCAAAAGCAGCAGAGGATGGTAAACCATCGGCCAAGCGGCGTGTAGTGGATGGCGGACCATCGGCCAAGCGGCAAAGGCAGAAGATGGCGAACCATCGGCCGAAAGGCAAGTGGAGATTGAGTCGGCGATGGGTGAAAATTCGACGACGACAGTGAAGGAACAATGATTGATTGGACGTCAGACGGTGAACGACAATAAATATATGCGAGCACTGACCCCTGTCATCCGGACGCGGGAGTGCCTCCACAGGCTCATCCGAAGGGTGGGTCCCAATAACGGGATAGATGAGGCCGCCTAGAGTCCGCCGGGGTGTTAGAGAACGAAGAGGTGGACCTGAGGGTGGGGACTGGCCCGATGGCTGGGGGGCCAGGACATCGCGGCCAACGGAGAAGTTATTCCAATGATCGCGCAACCGCTGTTTTGTAGAGCAGACACGCAGTTGGGCGACGGAGGTCGTTTCACCACGGTTGATTAAGCGAGTTGGAGCGCGAGAGTTACTGCCGATGTGGTAGAGCTTAAGAGTTACTGGCGATGGTGGAAGGCAATTTAGGAAACAAAAAAACAAGAACTATAGGGGTCGCGCCGCATAAGCGGACCGGCGGATGCCGCGGGCCGAAAGTTGTTCGGCCCGTTACGGACCGTCAAAGACTTTTGCGTGGTGACAAGCCGGGTCTCTTAGCCCCGGAATTGCACTCGTATTCCAATGCTATCCTATTGCTTCTGAACCTGTGTGCCCGGTTGTCATCCGGCGTTACATACAATGACCGCGCGGGGCGCTCCTGGATACCGCCTGCCCACGCGAAGTTGATGACAACGCACAACGAGATCGCTCTCTCTTTTCCTCCGCTACCGCAAGTATACGCCAGATTGTCATCCCAATGTATAGGCCGTGAACAATTCCAGACGACGTGAGTAGTAAAGTAGTTTGCGATAAGAGCGTGCAGTTTACCACCAGCATGCCTACTAGTATAAACACCGAGCATCGCGCGATCTTGAGCGCCCTACAGTACGACATCTGTCCATCAAGAACGGTTCTGTGCGCGCCCCTATCCTAAGTATGCTTCTGCAAACATGCGCGCTGGCAATTGAGCGCCCATTGCATGTCCTGCGCGCATCGTTGTTCGGCCTGTATCTGCTTTGCGAACCGTTAGCTGTTTCTTCGATTGCACGTTCTATTACCAACCCGTGGAACGTGCGGCACTACCTTTGCTTCCAGTCACAGAAGTATGAGTATGCGGCAGGCACTGTCTCACAGGGTTGAAGCTGATATATGAACTAGGACTATCACGATGTTCCGCACTTTGTACTCAACCATCATCAAGATCATCGTTGCGACTACGCTACCTTCCGATAGTGCATTCCTGCGACATTGGGTCGTGTACACACATATGGCGAATGAATGCTACGATGATGACATCTGTTGCGTTCCATCAGGCGCACCCGTAAGGTGGATGCCACGTATTTTGTCCATGGTCTTTCTGTGAGGATTCAACATGTATCCCTGACCCCCATCGCTTCCTTGACCCTCGGCTTACGCTCAACGCTCATGTCCTTCCACTCGTTTACCACACGCTCTTTCTACCTGCTTCTTAGCCTGACTCTGACTCGTCGTGTCTGGGCGCAAGACCTCTCTATCCCCTCGTCTGTATGGAATGTATGTTGCGAATTCATACCGCCACGAACTGTTCTAACTCTTCTTGAAGGTCAGCACGCCGAGCTCCGATACTAGAACGGTACGCGAAGGACATGCAAATGACGCGGCAAATGCACTGGTGTCGAATATACAAGCCGATGGGAGCCTGACAGGTTCGTCTCAATCTGCATCTGTGCACAGAGTTTGGCGATCCGAATCACCGATAGACAACACTGAAAGCCAAGCTCTTGCGAGCATGTACACCGTTCTCGCGGCACAAGATATGCTTAGCGGCAACGCGTCATGGAACAGTACGGTCACCGGCAAAATGAAGGCTTGGGTCGAGAAGATAGACATCTTTGGCAACGGCACTACGGGCTCCTTGCGGACGAACAGCAACGGGATGTAAGTTCATCAACTCATTCAACTTTCGATCTACTCATGAGATCTGACATCCCTTATACAGACAATGGGCTCTCGCGGCCTATCACGTTTACAAAGCGTACGGCGACCCATACTTCCTAACTTTCGCCAAGAATGCATTCGATACCACCTATATCGACTACATCACGCCATCTGTCGCTGCAGCCAAGAAGTTTGGTCCAGGGCGCAACATCTCTGCCAATGCTTCGCAATGCTTCGGTGCGCCTGTTTGTTCTCATTTGTCTCTGTGTTGTGATTAACGAGGGCGTAGACATCACCGCGGGGGGGATCTTCTGGGTTCGGGCCTTACTCCGTTTCTACATCTTCGCATCTTCGAAGCTCATCCCCTTTCATAGCTTCCGGATGTTGGCAATAACCCTCAGGTCCAGGCGGACACAGTCGGGTGCGTCAGTGTCCAGTCAGCTCTATACCGGGCACACGCTCATTTCAGGCCATCCATCAGGCCGTTCGCAGTGTAAGCTTTGCGGGTTGTGTAGATCATTACATGGCGAGTTAACTCCACGCAACAGCCTCGCTGGTTTCCTATACGAGGAAACTAAGAACGGGACCTACCAGTCATTGGGACTACAGACCCTGCAATTCATGAAGCAGACCATGTGGGATAGTGCGTTCTCGACGAAGTTCGGCATATGATCTCAGCGGATACTGAGTATCGATCGGCCATCCAGGTCCATCCAACCTAGTGAGGGGCGTTTTCGATGCGTACATATGCGGTGCAAACACGGGTCAAAGTCCGGAGGTGCAAGCATGGTATATCTACCCGCTCAGCGTCTTCGCGAATATCACCGCTACCAGCGACTCGGACACGAGTGCATCACTTATTGGACTGTACGTATTTGCCATCATCCAAGAAATGACTCTTGGATAGTAACGGTTGTCACTTCAGTCTAAGATCTGCAGTATCGGAAGCAGGTCTCAATACAGCCTGGACGCAGACTAATGGTGTCCTGAAAGGTGAACAGACACGGCTGAATGCACTTTATTAGGCCGTTGACAGCTTACTTCAGATACGCCGGACGATACATACGCAATACACGACGACGAGTTCGACTCGAAAGGCAAGTCTTACCACTGGTCATACGCGATCATAAAGTGACAAGTCACGTAGCGATCCTTGTTCGGGCTCTAAGCGAGACACTACGTCGATTGCCCACGTCAACAGATTTTGGTGCAGTTCATCGAAGCGTTCTTGACCGTACAGGTATGCATAAGACACCCTCATGATCTGCAGTAATAGCTCACTCTAGTAGTACAACTCCGTCATCAACCTGGCACTGAACGGCAACTCTTATGCCTCAGCACCTACAGGGCCACCACCACTCACGTTCTCCAACGAGGGAAACATCATGGCACTGGACATCTTGAATGCAGCCTTTGCCATGGCCCCGAAGGTTACAGCGTGAGTTCTACGCAACTGAATGAAACACTCAAGCTTAACCCTCCCTAGATCTGCAAGTTCTTCCACCGCTGTGACCGCAAGTTCGACGACTAGTCCCGACGCTGCCTCGTCCCAGTCTTCTACTTCGTCGTCCTCTCCTGTCGGAGCCATCGTGGGAGGTGTAGTGGGCGGTGTTGGCGGTCTCGCAGTGCTCGTGGGTGTGCTGATATGGTGGCGACGCAAGCGCCGTGCAGACGAGGCCGCACTGGCCGCACCTATTGCAGAGAGATCCATGATCGAGCCCTTCAGCCCATCCCTCATGGTCGCCGAACCGTACCGGCGCATGACGTCGGCACCTCAGCACGAGGATCCGTATAGGTCGGGCTTGAGAGGTAAGCGAATCGTTGAAGCCAGCGCTTGAAGTATCTCATCTTTCTGATAGTGGGACATCGCTCGAAGCTAGCTCGGGAGCTGCCTCCATCGCTCCCGTCCATAGTGCCGGCTTCATCGACGAACCCCTCTGAAGCACAGACATCGAGCTCCGCGCCATTGACCAATCAGCAACAATCCGATATACCAGCTCTCGTCGGACGATTGGTCCTGGACATGTTGCGCGATGCCCGCGACACCGGCACTGCGCCGCCGGATTACGGAGAGTAGTGATTGTGACAGGACTTTATTTATTGATGATAAATATACCTTGGTGCCATGAATACGTATACTGTGAGGCCATTGCATAGGTTGTGAAGTCGGTCAAAGAGTGAAGGAGTCTCAACGGGTCAGAGGTGGTGGTTCTTGCGCAAGTAAACATCTGGTGAACGTTGCGACCGACTGCCCGGTCCTTCGGTCCGAGGGCAGAATCCCGATGTTCGTAGAAGCTGTCACAGTCGCTGCCCTCAACGAATGTCCGCATGAACCGTCTAGCTAGTCCGTGCTCTATAGTATGCCACACCCTTCGCGTACACGTTACACCTACACATCGCTCAACGCCAACAAACTCCACACATACACCGGAAGTACAACATTATCGTTCTGTCCGCTCACGCCCTCCAAAACACTACCCAGTGCAATCGCGCCGATGTACCGCGCACCGGAGAACTTCGGGATGAACCCGCACAAGTACAATAAGCCTGCGAAGGCTGCTACGCTCAGCGTGAAAGCGAGCGAGCCTTCGACTGTTTTGGGTGTTCCGGCTGTCCAGCGGATGCGGCCGAAGCGCTTGCCGTAGACTGAGGCCTGAGAAGTATAGTCAGTATCGATCCCCCGGTCTTGGTCTAGGAGACATACCACTGCATCGCCGACCCCGACTGTGAGGATCCCGGTATATGCAAGTAGAGGCGAAGGTCTGCAATCGTAGTCAGGACCAGTGCCACGACTCCAAGCGCCACAATGTGGTATCACTCACGCCTCGAACCAAATCGCACACCCACACCCCGTCAACAGATAGAAATGGCTCAAAACCGCAGCCCCCATATCCTTCGCGTCCAAAAACTCGCTCACAAACACATGCACAGCAGCGCCCACCGGCCACAGCGCAAAGTACCGCGCAAACTCTGCAAACGCGAACAGCGCGAACGCCGCGCTGATAGCCAGATGCGTGAACGCCGGATCCACCGCGACGCCGGGGACGAACATGAGCACGGCGAGCAAGTGGAAGAACTTGCGGCGGCCGTTGAGGCCGAGCGTGGGGACGCGCCTGTCGGCTGCGTCGAGCCATTCGGACGAGGCGGCTGAGACGGAGGGGAGGGCGGATATGTCGGGGAAGGCGAAGGCCGTGCTCGTTGGGAGCGCCGCCATGCTGAGCGGGACGGCCGCGTTCGCGCGCTCGGCTTCGCTGCCGCTGCCCATCGCTGGCGACCCCGGCTCGCTCGGCGGCGCTTCGTTGGCTATTGCGCCAGCGCTTCCTGGTTGGGCGCTAGGCGCGTTCGCCGGCCGAGGCCGTAAGCGCCGGCTGCGCGCGAGTTGCCTGTTCCATCCTGCGACCGATATACTGCCGAGCGCTCCCCAGTACGCGAGCAGCGCAGGTCGCGTCCACGCTCGCGGGCCTTCGAGGATAGAGCGAAGCGCCCATAGCCACGGATCACGCCCGCCGAGAACCCAACGGGCCCAAGAGCCGATAAGACCGAAGACGATCATCACTGTTCCGACGTAGAACCCGAAGGCCATCCACTTCCTCTGTCGCTCCTTCTCTGCGGGGTGCTTCAGCCGGCGCAGAGGCTGCCGCGCGATATGTCTGCTGAGAGCGAGAAGCGGCGAGAGGAGGAAGCCGGTGAGAAGACTTCCGGGGATCAGGGCGATGTGGAATGTCAAAAGCGGGGTTGCGAGGCGGAATGTGCGCAGGAAGGGCGTTGCGCCTGGAAGGAGCCGGGCGAGGGTCAAATGCGCTAGCTCAGAGAAGAGCGCGGTCGCGCCGAATGCAATGATCGCGAGCTCGCCAAGTGTCAAAGCGTGATGTGCAAGGCGGACCGCAATGTACAGGCTGAACTGATAGAATAGTGCTAGGCTCGCGAAATCCCATAAGCTGAGGCGCGTCCAAATGCCGATGCCAAAGACCGGTAGCGTGATGCGTATTGCGAGCAAAGACAGAGTCGAGAAAAAGACGAAGGCAATATAGTAGCCTGCTTTCCGCATCTCGCTTCGTGGTACTGATCCGCGCTCGCCGTCCGGAACGGGGTGCGTTTTGCGGAAACGTGCTTCGAACGCAACGCTTGCGCCGACGTGTAGCAGCAGAGCGGCGGAGCATAGTGTACCGAGGTCGATGGCGGCTGCACGCGAACGAACAACAGCGTCGATCGGGCTGAGTGATGATACAGGGAGCATCATTGGCGGTTCTATATGCCATCCAGGAAGCACACGTCGATCTGCGAGTGTGTTGTAGAATAGCGCGGCCGAGATGAGTGGGCTCAGCACCAAGCCCGTCACGATGCCATCATCCGGCGCATCTCTGTTCAAGCTCGTATCAGTATACCAGAGGAGACGCAGTGTAGAGGGTCATTTCGCACCGCACCTGTAGTTCTTGGGCACCGTCATGAAGACCAGAGCCTGCCGTTCGCGCGCGGCCGTATTAGTGCTATAGCTGGGCAACTTTTGTAGTAATGGCGCGCCACGCTTGCTTTCTCGCTCGCTGGGCGGCCGAGGAGAGTCGGAGCGATCGGGTATTGCATCAGGCTTGCTGGAGGTGTCCGTTACGCGGGACATGGATGTGTGTATCCAGATAATGTATATTGAGGCGGCAAGGACCACGGTCAAGAGTTCTATGTGGCCGTCAGCTTTATGTTGGATATGGACACGAGTATTGCATACCTATAGGTAGCCACGCGTCGACCTCCTCGTCCAGACCATCCAATCGTGCCTCGGTCAGTTTCCCAGCTGCTGCACTGAGTGCGCCTAGAAGGATTCCGGTCTCCACGGCGAGCGTGGTATCCATCGCAAATACAATGCGTAATCGAGAACATGGTATTCGGAGCGACCAAGATATTCGAGCTGGAAGTGCATGCACAGGTGCACGTGCAAGCCTTTTGCGTGCTCGTACCGCAGGCGAGCGCGAGCGAGCATGCTGGCCAGCTCCATTCAAGACATGTGGCGCTGGCGAACGGCTTCGAGTAAATTCGCGGCGAGTCGGTGTCGACGCATTAAGAAGATCGCCAGGCTGGCGTGCCATGGTCACAGAATATTGCCGTGACTTTTTGGGTGGGGACGATGCGCGTGCCAGCGGCCGAGTGTTGTCGAGCACGCTGCGACTGAGGCGGTAGCGCCCGTCGGTGTCCGTCGATGAATCGCTGTCAGAACTCTCTACACCGCCGTGTCCGCTCGATCCGGCCGCATAGCTCGTGCTCCAGTCCATCTGTGGACTTCCTTTCACTTGAATTGTCATCCCATTGGCAGTCGCTGTTGTTCGGATTTTGCGACCGCGGAGGCGCGTACTGCCATTAGGGTCGGTTGTACGCTCGCGCGCCACGGGAGGTGGTGACGGTGACGAGCGCGAGCGCGGCATGGCGCGATGATGGTGGTCAACTCAAGAGATGGATACGTGTGCTGGCGAGTAAAGCTGGATCTGGATCTGTGGCCAGAGCTAAAGTTGTGGCTCGAGGTAGAGCGCGCGTTGACACGTGGTTTCCCGGCGCGCCAGGTATCTCCGACACGTCCTCGACTCTTCGCGCAACTTGCTCTTGACCGCTACCGTAAGTTACTGAGGCGTCTCGGTACACGATCAACGTAACTTCACCAGCCAATCCAAACGCGACAACTCACTCCGCTGCGGATACTGACTAGATCTATCTCTCATCTTTGCATGAATATAGTCGTCTGCAATCACCACGCTTCGGGAGAGCGATTCGCAGAGATATTCGAGCATACGATGTCACGCGCCTCATGTGGCCCGTTAAACGCTCTGAGCCAGGCTTTTCTTCGAAGATGAAGCGCTCATTGCGCTTGCTGTCCCACTATTATCCTTAAGGCTGGAAACGCGTACATCCGCGTATGTATCGAATCCAGAATGTGTGTCTAAACCTGACCACTATCATGAGCTAAACCCCGTCTCGTAGCTCAATATTACATGAGCTCGATGATGTTTAATTGCTGAATGAGCCGGCTTGTGCCGTCGCTGGATAAGCGGAGTACACGTCGTCCTTCTGCCTCGTAACCTTAACCCTAACTCCCAACGGCGCAAGCGCCGAATATTAGGAGTCGGGTGTCGCGTGGAGTTTTGGTCCGTTTGCCGTTAGCCGAGCCGCCCGACACAGGTACTCGCACCACTTGAACTCGACCTTGACGGTGATGCATAATCTAGAAGGCTTTCATTCTCAACGACCATGGCACTGCACTTGTAGGTCTTGCGACACGCACTAACATCGTCGGCTATGTTCACGGCTGGACGCTTCATTCTGTGATCATATCGGTGATCTGCGCTGTACGCTCGACGCCTGATGCGCGCCTAATCCCTATGGGAACTGGGAACTCTACAGGCGCCATAGTTGCCCTTCGGACGCACGTTCGCTACACTACATGCGCGTGGCCAGCCGTCCGCTTTGCCCGCGGGCCTGTCAGGTGGGGTGCGCTACGTAGCCCCAGAACAAAGGACCTTCTTTATTCCATCTCGCCGGTTGCGGGATGCATAGAGAGCACCCGCACCTTGAGTCTGCATACGGCTTGCAGTTTGTTTGTCCTGGTGTATGGATGCAGTGCGTGGCATCCCGTAAGCCTGATCAGGGAGCACGAAAAGTATATCAGCGCACGCAGCTCTACTGGACACGGCCACTAGACACCCCCCGCCATTGCAGACCTTCAGTCCGACCATGGCCTCCGCGACTCAAAGTGGTACCTGTCTTTTCGGATAAACAGTTCGCGTCATTAGTCTGATCGTCTTCCGTTATAGATACCACATTCCTCGACCCGAACGATAGGTTCTGGAGTCTATACATCGCTGATGCGGAGAAGCACGACAAGATACGACTCGAGCGCTGGAAAGGAGATACAGATGGGATCTTGATCTTCGTACGTCCCATCATAACACCACTGATACCACTCATCTGACAATACCACCGTGATTACCAAGACCGGTCTCTTTGCGGCCACTGTCGCTACTTTTGTTGTCGCCAGTATCCCTGACTTGTCCGCCGACTCAGGCGACCAAACTGTTGCTTTGCTCTCGCAAGTCCTGGCCGCGTTGGCGAACCAAACACAAGGCAATGCGGTGTCTATCACCCAACCGGACGCTTTCCAACCGTCGGCTTCTTCTGTATGGGTCAATTGCTTATGGATGTCCAGTCTATCCGTGGCGCTTTTCTGCGCACTGGCTGCCACGCTCGTGCAGCAATGGTCTAGAGTTTACTCACAGGGAACGCAGAGACGCGGGAGGCCCAGTATCCGCGGCCCGGTCTATGCCAAACTAGCCGATGGTGTCGAACGTTTTCGCATGGAGGATGCCATATCGGTCATCGTCTCGCTATTGCACCTGGCGGTTGCTCTCTTCTTCGCAGGACTTCTTATCCTGATAGTGGCTACCAACCGTGCAGTCGCCATCGTCCTGGCAGCTGTGATAGCAACTGGCGGCTTGTGCTATGGTTTCACGAGCATCATACCGATTTTCACTTCATGGTCCCCGTACCGTACGCCTTTGAGTCTCGTCATCAAATACTTCTTGCTCTCGGTGGCATACGTGGGCATCAGCCTCTGGACCATCTGTCCTTGTTTCTCGAGCTATGAAGAGGTGCCATACACGGATATGACACACGAATCCATCGCCATAACCCGCCTAAGCGGCACTTATACCAGTGGTCCCTACAAGAAGAATGCTCTTACCAGCACATACGAATGGCTACGGACTCGACCAGTCTCAGCACCTCCCAAGGCGTGTTCCCCGCTTGAGCGGGTGATCGGTCAGCATCACGCCATCAGACAAGTCTGCAGATCTGTAGACGAACTGCACGAAGTCGAGCAAACCTGCGAAGCTCTCATTCCTATAATGAATGCCGCGAAGAGCGATGCGCGACAGAGACTTCCCCTTGCGAGATTGCTCATACGCGAGCTGAACATCATCGATCTACTGGCCAAACTTGCAGATCAGAAGAACGAGGTGGTACCGATGCAGGCAGCGGAGACGAGCGGCCGCAGGATTATAGCGGTCGTCTCGTTGGCCAGCTCGCTGATACGGTGCAGTCTTCCCTCGGGCATTTTCTCAGGTGCACCTACCACCTCTCTTCGCCTCGATGAACTCGACGAAGCCTACGTCGGACTGTTCAAGATCGAGACGAGCGACTTGCTCACTCATATTGATGTCTCTCGCTCGAAACTGCTTGCTTCCAGACGGTCGAGACAGGAAGGAATACACGTAGCCCTTGATTGCTTCTTCGCAACGCTCCGGGCGGATATGCTCGTGGTCATCGCTGCTCATGAAAGGATCGCTGTTGGGGTCCGCGAGAACACAGCGAAGCGCCTGCTTATGGCCCTCGTGAGTGATTCGGCGGCCAGAAGCGCGTGGCTTCCCGAGGGGTTCGACCATTACACGGATAGTGTGGCGACCTTCCACCTCGCGCGCCGCTTCCTATTCGATAACTGCATGTGGATATTCGACACGATCATCAACGTCTCGTTGCAGCAAGAGGGGCTCAGCTTGCTCGATTCGCTGGAACACTTTTGGGCCCCTCGTGTTGAGCATGTACGCAAAGCGGCCATGCTATACTTGCCCCAATTCTACATTAGGCAAAGGAATAGTCTTCGCGCAAACCTGGAGAGAATCCTCAAAAAGCTGGGTACCGACCTGCCGGGTTTGGCAAACGATGTCGCGTTCGACGCGTATTGGGCAACCATTGAAAGAGAACAACTGAATCCGCGTATTGCTCGACTGTTCGATAGGTTTCCGCAGTTCAGAGACTCACTCGTACAACTCTGCACAGAACTACAAAGGCAGATCGCCTGGGGACGCACAGTCCAGCATGAAGTCTCACTCCATCGGGCTCAGTTCCCGGGAAGTGAGATCGGGAGCCAATACCTGACATGATGGCTCGTTTCCGTCGTTCCCGTCAAAGTATCACAGACGCGGGATTAGATTACCCATGTAACAGTGTACAATATATTGGTGTATTGGTGACATAATGAGACGAGAGCGAAGGCGAAGATCTAAGCCAAGGCACTGCCGATCTGAGAGACGGCCAGCGAATGCCTAACAACGAGAGACCACCTGTTATCCGGTAATTCGCTCCAATATGCATGCTCAGGTTCAGATTGAAGTATGCCTCTCTCCCGAAGGGTCCGTGGTGGCAGCTGCAGGGGTAGACATGGTGGTTCGCGTACAAGACGCGTCTCGACCCGCGATGCTCGCGTGTAGCGTCTGGAGACTGGAGGCGCGTCGAGTCCGGCCCGTACTTCCGCGCCTCGTCCTTAGCCTCCTCTTGCTTCCTGCCTCCACAACACGTTCACGCCCCAAGCATCTGCATCTCGACTTGAGCTTTAAAGCTTGCCGTAACATGACTCAGGTGCCTCAGAATAGTAAGTCGACCATGTCTACTCTGCAACGGCAGATCCTGAGACAGCTCCTCCTACCAGATGCGGCCAATGCAGGTGCCCCATATGTTGGGCCAGATACGACCTTCGTGAACCCTAGCGACAAGTTCTGGTCGCTCTATATTGAAGATGCGGAGAAATATGACAAGGTCCGACTCGAGAGATGGAAGGGGGACACCGATGGGATTCTGATATTCGTGCGTGATATGCCGCTTTTGGGCGGTGCTCTTCCTCATTGCTCTTCAGACCGGTCTATTCGCTGCCACGGTGGCGACCTTTGTCGTCAGCACTATTCCAAGTCTCTCTCCCGATTCTGGTGACCAGTCCGCGGTCCTCCTGGCCCAGGTGCTCTCCGTACTTGTGAATAATACAGATAATGGCACACTGCCCACTAGTGCACCCCCGAACTACAGTTTTGAAGCTTCCATGTCATCTGTTTGGATCAACTCGCTCTGGCTTGTGAGTCTGTTCCTATCGCTGGTCTGTGCTCTCGGCGCGACCCTCGCGCAACAATGGGCGAGGATCTACTTGCAACAAGTTCAGCGCCGCGGTAGCCCCAGTGTCCGGGGCCCACAGTACGCCGCTCTGACACAAGAGCTGGAGAACTTCCATATGGAAGACGTCATCACTTGGATCATATCCATACTGCATGTTGCTGTACTGCTGTTCTTTGCTGGACTACTCGTCTTGATATACCCGGCTGATCGCCGCGTTGGTATCGTCTTAGCCGCATTCGTTGCCGCAGGAATCCTGGTATACCTTGCCTTGAGTCTATTGCCAATAGCGACATATCGCTCTCCCTACCGCACACCGTTGACGAATGCGCTCAAACGTGTCATAAACGTACTCTCGACGCTGGTCGATGGGCCCGACACCCCGGAGGATCGGCGGCATCTGCGTGCGGGTACCGTCGCGGACAAGATCTACGAATGGAATCCAGATCAATGGGTGAGTTACCATACTGGAGCATTGAAACAGCTCCACGCTTCAGTGGATCAGATGGACGAAGCTGAGGTCTTCTGCGACTCGCTGGCCATGCTACTCGACTCGTTCCAGCAAGGCTCACCCACAGTTCTGGAGGTTCATGGACAGCCAGGTCCTGCGCACACGTCGTATGCGGCACTGCACACGTTTTGTCTATTCGCTGTGGTTCAACTGGATGTGTGCAGGTTGCTAAAAAAGTTGATGGATGACATACCGTTCAATAAACGATTACCCGGGCAATCGATGGTTCGTAGACTGTCAACCATCAGCTCGCTCATCCGGTCACTCCTTGAGGATTGTTACCGAGGGGTTGGTCGAGAAGAAATCACCGTTGCGGGAGACAGGATCCTGACAGAAGTACTCCGAAGCGGATGCTTACGCCTTAGCCCGACATATAGCACCTGGCCCGACCGTTCCCAGTTTGACTTTCTAGTACGGCAAGACAGGAAACAAGCGATCCACAAGCTGCCGTTCGATACTGGGCGCCTACCTTTTCCGCCCCGTCTATTCGGAGTAGGAAGCGAAAGGATCTCGCAATTCTTTGTCGCGTCTATACGGGCAGGGTTCTTGGAGGCTTATCTGCTGCGCCCTGGAGCCGATTATCACGGGCAGCTGTTCGATCGCATCATCCGTGTATTGTTGCTCAGAGGAGACCTTCCTAGCAACTTCCCTAACAGTAATGAACTTAGGGGAGCGATCATTCGCGAGCTTTTACTGGACAACTTTCTGTATATGTACAGCGAAACTATCCGGTTTGCTTCAGAACCCGACGGCATCGACATGTTACATGAGTATCAGAGTACATGGATACCCCTCATGAAGAAAATGTACAAAGGAGTCCAATCACACCTGCCTCGGATGAGGCCCAACGATGACAGCCTTGTTGCACTGAGCTACATTGCGCATGAACTTGGCCTACTAGACGACATGGATGGTCTAGAATCTGTCTTGGACGAGGCCTACGTCCAGAATCACGTAGACGCGCGTTATACGCCGCTGTTCCGGGATCGCTCGATGTTTGGTCACTGGTTCTCCTCCATTTGCCGTTGGCAGATTGACGCAAGCGATGGAGGACTGCCTGGCCTCTATCAAGTCTCATTCGCGCCTGGAAGGTCAAGGATGAATACCCCGGAGCCGGTGAGTCCACACTTCCGATTCTCTAGATACGATGCAACACTCACTACTCACATGTGCAGATCGAGGAGCAACCTATCGGACGGGAAAACCCGAACGAGCAAGACGAGCCGCGGACGTCAATTGAAGGGGATCTTCGGGCGGTACAGGTTCACAGTCCGGACGGGGACTCGGAGGTCATATCTATGGAGCATTAATGTAATCAGGGTTCGATAACTCTTAAGATGTGTCTAGAATCGCTCGCTTTTCACAATAGGTCATTGAATACATGGTAGTGACGAATGCCAACAGAGTATATAGGGCTGTCATGTCAGAGAAAGGGATAGTGTTTGTCTGCTGTATAGTCCATTATCGTCTAAAGGTCGGAACCTCGGCCATGTGCTTCAGCTTATGGCGGCGACGCGATGCTTTCAGGACAATTGCAGGCGTAAGGAGTGTTGCCGTGCAGTCTGAATCAAGGGCGAATCGTTGAGTGACGGCTAAAGATGGAAACACCGCACTCGCTCTCCGTGGTCGAATGTGGTAGATCATCGTCGAGAAGGAAGTCTCGCCGTACACATCCTTCACAGTTCTGCCTGCCCGATAGAGCAGCAAGCCATGATCGGGCCGTGGTCGCGGCGATACAAGGACATCGAAGAACGCGCTCACGCCCGGCGGCAACCGCGCCGCGACGGGGGATCTTCGATTGCAGCTCAGGAGACATTCGCCGTAATGCCTCTGACAGGCTGCCTAGAGCGTCGATCCTCGCGTCGCGCGGTCAAGTCGGTGGAGAAATAGCATTGCCCGCTGTAGGTCGCCGTCGTCCAGAGCGCGGACATCTCGGTCAAGTGGTCTCAGTTAAGGTCGCTATCTTAGACGCTCGCAGGGTCATCACCGCCGGTTCTTGAACGTCAGAGTATTCGGAGTGTTTGGCGTTGTCACCGGCGAGCAACAAGTTGAGAAAATTCGAGTGGCGTTTGCAGGCGAGACGGAGGCAAAACGACGGATGTGGTCGAGGGCAAACCTCGTTCGGGCCGGGACGCGGGTATCCACAAGACGCGCCCGCGAACATCAATGGGTGTACAGTCGCGATGTTACGATCCTGTCGGTCGATCTGAGTAGCGTACGTGTACATAAGTAAGGATCAAGGGAGCTATCAAATGGAGCGTCGGACGGCCTCGACTTTTGAGCCAACACGTAGACCCTGTACCCGGCCCGGAGAGGCCGGCCGCCATGCATCAGTCGCTCAGGCACCTCTTTCCTCCGCTCATCACTGTGCATGTAGGTTCGAGCATGGTAGCAACAACTTCGAATGCTTGATATACAGACATTGCCCAGGCTTTTCGTCACAGATGTACTGGCAATCCTTGCTCGAACCGTCACCAATCCTCTCTCATCGGCTCCCTTTTGACGAGACAGGCTCAGATTGTCCAAGCGAGCTGTCAGCACTACGACATACACGGGCATCAGCCTTGAACTCTCAGCCGCATGAAGTATAAACGCTTTCGTACCGTGCTAGGGCAGCAGATGAGGTACTGGTCGACCTGTCCGCACTGAGCGTCTCCGGCTGGACAGGTTGCGGATGGGTTATCCAGGAGGTTGACGTAGTCCTTCGATGACGATGAACTAGTCAGCCGGCGTGGACCAAGGAGAAGATGAAGACAGTGACAGGACGTACACAATTGGCACCTCGCTTGAGCGGCTGCGCGGGGCTGGCGGCAGCGAGCGTGGTAAGAAGAGCAAGGACGAGGGTCCTGAAGAGCATTGTTGACGAGTTGTCTGGCTGCGATAGAGCTAAGAGGGACTGGGCTTCTAGTCGTCAGAGTGGACGAAGACGAGCTCTCTTTATACATCACTTCGTCGGGCCATCTGTTCGCTTTCCGAAGGCAAATGCTGCTGGCTTTGACGACGGCTGACGACGCGAAGATGCTCCAGAGCGCATGGTGTCTGGCGCGAGTCCATGCGCGTTCGGAAGGGCCACCGAGAGCACGTCGCCCTCCGTGCGTAGCGCGAAGGCCTATCGTCGTCGAGCTTCGAGTAGTATGCAGCAACATCCGAGTCAGATGCTGGTCACAGTTCCGGCCATCAGTCAGCCGGCTTTGCCGTTTGCCGGTGCTGTGATGGAATCACTTCGCAGACGCTGTAGGCTAACTTATCGCACAAGGATACCTCAACATTCGCAAGTTGTATCACAATACAACGCGGCACTAAGCGATCTCCTGGATAGCTTCCTCTCGGTGTAGCATTCACTTCCACTTCGTCCGACACGAAGAACTCAAACGTCTCACTGCCCGCAGTTCTACACGAGCCCAAGAATCAACGCCTACCACACAGTCAACGGGAGCATAACATACCGATACGGAATCAGGACAACAGAACAAGAAAGCGTCGACTTGTCCGCAAGTGTAGTACCCGCTATCGTCGAGGTATGAGCATCCCTCGGGTTGTTTTTCAAGGAGCGTATGGCCTCTGGAGCATCTTCATGCGTACTCGGCAGGACCACCGAATGCACGCCTACGTTGGCGAATCGTCGACCGGGATACCGCAAAGCGGCGGCGGGCTCCCGGGAAGCCAGCGTGATGAAGCCTATGGTCAAATGCGCCGCGGGACAACTGCAGTCTGCTCGCAAAGGGAAGACGCGCATCATGAGGTGTACCATCCCGAAGGAGATGCTGATCTCCCACAGTTCTCCCACTCGCGCCGGTGTTCGCTTTTGATGCGTTCGTGTGGGGCGTGCACTGGTATCGGGGAAGCATCGGGTGGGTCCGTTCTAGAGATGGGGTAGAAGTGTTGGACTGCCGGATTGGGATGAGCGAAGAGGGACTGGGCGCGCATGGGAAGAAGTTTGGGCATGACTGCGACAGAATCAACGGAACATGGTAGCAAGAAAGCAACGTGCGATAGCGACAACAACAACAATCTCCAGACGATGACATCGTGTACGAGTATACACCAACCAACCAACCGCTCACTTCCCGACCGGTCTCGCCCTACTTCCTCGCCGGCCTCTTCTTGACCTCGTCATCCTTGACCGGATGCAAGAAGATCTTATTGACATGACCCGCCGTCATGCCCGAGTGTCCTTTACTCCAGTCATACGCAACCGAGTACGCGAATATCGCGCCGGTATGGTTGAACGCGGTACTCGTGATCGGGCCGGGGCACGGGTCGAAGCCTAAAGCTACCCCGTCAGCGACACAGAACCGAAACGCAAGCGTGTGAGACCGAGCTGACTTTTCAAACGTGTGCGCGCGTCCTTGTCCCAGAAGTTGATGGTGCCGTCCGAGCCGCAAGTCGAGAATGTGCCTTGTTGGGGGTGGAAGGTTATGTCGTTCACGGCGAAGACCAGGGACTGGTCTTTCGTGTTTGGCGTCGAGTCTTTGCGGTGGCATTTGAACGAGAAGTTGTTCTGGCTGTCCTTATCTTCGACGTACCTACGTAAGGCCCATCAGCATCAACAACGAGAACGAGAATGAAGACTAAGTAAAGACGCACTGAATGGCCACGCGGCCCTCCACACTACCCACCGCGAACCCATTCGCAGCCGGGAAACACGATATGACGCGCGTCTGCCACTTCAACGGGCTCATCATCGTCTTGAACGGTTGTGTGGGGTTGGTGAGGTTGAAGATCTGGATGTGACGTTCGGCGGTGCCGACGACTAGGAGGGGGTAGACGACGTCCATTGTGTAGATGCGGTCAGGGAGCGTGACGGAGGATATTGGGGTGGGACTTCGCAGGTCCCAATACTAATAGAGTACATTAGATGGTGTCGCTGAAGATGTAGAGGGTTCGCGACGTACCTTGACGGTCTTATCCCAGCTACCGGTGGCAATTATGCTGCCCTGCGGTGTCTCAATCGACCGCACGACCTTCACCGGGCCATCATGCTGCGCCACTTGCGAGCTCTGGCCCGTCGAGATATCAAATAATCGCACTGCATTGTCGCAGCCGCCCGATAGCAATTTTGTGCCATCCTGTGGGAGGAGTCAGGATGTTTGGGCGTCAAAGCCATGTGGCGCGAGGGACGCGCCTTGGACCAGCAGGTGCTCAGCACGGGCGCTTGATGTTGATACATCGCCTTTCCCTGAGTCTGCCCGTTCGCTCCGACCTCGTATATTCGTACCTATATCCCCATCCTCCATCAGTATCCCCGATACACTCTAGTTTAAGGACACGAGAGAACGAACATTATTATCCCAACTCCCAACAGCCAAAAAGTCCGCGACGGGCGAGAACGAGATGTTGGAGATTGAGTCCGGTGGCGGGTCGGCTACTTCCACGTCTTTTTCTGTGGAGGCCGGTGCGGAGGTTGTTGAGCCTCCGAAGAACGACATGGTGTATGTGGGTGAGAGGCAACCGCGTGCCGCGAGAGGTGCGCTGATGGAACCGTGACAGACTGAGAGCGCGAGGCGTCACGGTTGTGACGCGGACCGGAAGCACCGGATCGAAATAGCCTTTGTTCCCGAAGGCTTTCCTCAACGTAAACGCGTACGGCGAGCATCGGCGCGCTCGAAGTCGCTCGACTGGGAGAAGAGCGCTTCTACTGCTACTACTAAACGCATATGACTACCATCTGCAAATGGCGCATAAGCAGCTCCAGGTTGCGGGCGCTCTCGAACGTCGCACATGACGTGCCGGCGCGTCAGTGCGAATGACGTCTCTGCCATTGGCTGGAGAGCAAGCGCGTAGTACTTGAGCCACGCTCCGTGTATTGCTCACACTCATGCACCTCCTCCTGTCTCGCGCTCTCCCCCGAGTCCGAGCCAGCCTGTCTTACCTGCGCACTACCACCACGGCCACGAGAACGCGAACGATGGCGACCAAGACGATTGCAGTCCTCCCCGAGGCTGAGCTCAAGGATGGCGAGATGTAAGTGTCAATATTCTGACAGGTGTGGCGCGAGGTACTGACTAGTCGTGTGTAGGAAGGAGGTGGACTTTGAGCAGGGCAGGATACTGCTGTCGAGGATCGGCGGCAACATTCACGCGGTCGGTATCCTCGCCTCATTCCCGAAGCAACTGTACTCATTAAACCAACTATATATCAGACTTCCGCCTACTGCACCCACTATGGCGCGCCTCTATCCCGAGGTGTACTGACGGGCGATGGCCGCGTAGTATGGTAAGCACAGACATTGTGTGTATACGGCCACCCATGCTAACACGCCTAACAGCCCGTGGCACGGCGGTAAGCCCCTTCCCGTACTAACATCCCTCCCTTCTCACGTCCCAACCCCTCACCACCAGCCTGCTTCAACGTCTGCACCGGCGACATCGAAGACGCGCCCGGTCCCGCGCCCATCCACTCCTTCAAGACCTCCGTCGAGAACGGCCAGATCCAAGTGACCGCCGACCCCGCCTCGACCAAACCGGAGAACAAGTCCCGTCCGCCGAAGGTCCTTTCGTCCGTCGAGGAGACGGGACCGGGCGTGGTCGTCGTTGGCGGTGGAAGTGGCGCTTATGGCGTCTTGGAGAGCTTGAGAGAGTTCGGGTACAAGAAGTCCATCACGATCATTTCGAGCGAGCCTTATGCTCCCATTGACCGGTCAGTCCGCCTGTTCTAAACGGCTTGTGGGCACATTTGGGCTGATGCGCATGCGTACAGAACAAAGCTCAGTAAAGCGCTTATCTCCGACGCGTCGAAGCTCGAGTGGCGCTCGCCCGCTGAGCTCAAGATCAAGTACGGCGTAACCTTGCGCACCGGGACCGTGAGTGTCCGCACGCATGTAGTGGATATCCATACTCACCACTCGCACCATGCAGCCCGTTACCGCTGTGAACACGAGCAAGCGCACCGTCACCGTAGGCGACCACGAAGAAATCTCATACGATACGCTGGTCCTTGCAACCGGTGGCTCGCCCAGGCGCCTCCCCATCGACGGCGCGGACGGCAAGAACGTCTTCGTTCTGCGTCAAGTGCCCCAGGCGAAGCAGATCGACGAAGGTAAATCAATCACTGCTATCCGCACGCACCATCGCCGCTGACGCCGAGCGTTCCCCAGCGTGCCAGGAGGGCAAGAAGCTCGTCGTCAT